GTGACAACGACTGCGCTGAGAATCTCAACTCTTCAAAAGAAATTGCTGCCAACCTCTCACATTTTGACAACAGCTTTAACGCTAAAAGGCATAACAGAGAGGAATCCCGTTTCTTTCCTCGTCCTAAAAATCATCTCCACCACCTTCACCACCATTGTCATCATTGCTGCCGCCGACGCCACCGCCATCACCAAGAGCATCCCTGTTTTCTTCATGCACACTGGCATTGCCTCTGTTCTCGTCAGAAGCCTCCCGACGTCACTATTAGGACTGATGACTGACAGGTCAATACTAAGTCCTATGTGTTGTAAAGGTAGCCAAAAAAGCGAGATGTCACTGCCTAATTACGCCTTGTGTGAGTCCCCAATGAAGAACATGACAAGAAGAGGACAAAAGCAGAAGTCTATTGGTGTACATAGTACAAAAAATTTAAGGTGAACAACGCGTGTACAGCAATGTCCATCGGAACAATCAGATACTACTCTAGAGCGAGTAGTGACGCAATTGGTTTGTGACTCAGCGGCTAGCTTGTCTGATTTTTAGTCTGGTCGCAGCTTTAAATTTTAAATGATTGTCTGAGAAATGCAAAGCATGTTTTCCCAGGTATAAATGTGAAGCAAGCGAAAACGGCAAAATTTATTTGTGCACCTCTACACTCCGAGTCTGGCCGCAAAAAGCATACCTCCAGAATTCAACTGGATGTCACTGGAGGCTCCGACTACTTCAACTAAAATGTAAAGCATTTTTTTCCCTGGTATGAATTTGGAGCAAGCGAAAACGGCAGAATAAAAAATGCTCGAATGACTGCCAGTTGCGTTCGCCGCGTGTAGGCCGATCGATAGGTTGCCGTGAGCGCGGCTTGCTGCCTGCATGCTTGCGCGTTGACATCAGATTTGTCGCCAGCTGATTCGATTAGAGTGGACCCTAACACTATGACTGAAGCTACCAATAGCTCTCATTTTGACAAAAATAAAAAATCGTCCTGTTTAATTCACTTGTATCAGGTCATAGGGAAGAGATCACAAACAGAACACTGAAGAAACTATCCGACGGGCCAATAATGCAAGGGTTGTTTGCCCTTAAGGCGACGCAGCCAACATTGATATACGTCGCATCACTATGAGTTTGATGAGGTGCGATCTAGATGAATTCTGGATTAACACTATCAGGGAGCTAAAAAGTGCTCCAGGTAACGGTGGTACTAAGATTTCCCCGGAAAGATTGGCTAGGCCAAAATGCAGGTCTCGTTGGTTGATGTTGCGCGTCTACGTGAGACCTTAATTACTGCCGCATATGAGTGTGGTCCACCCCTTATAAAGGCCCGCTTTATAACGAACACCTCAAATTTACTTTTAGCCCTTCCAACTGACGCTTTACCAGACCTATCAGTCCTGAGTTGTGTGCGTGGACTGCGAATTAGGCAGGGTTGGCCGATTCTCATGCCACGCTTTGGTGTGTAACATCTTGGGCAGACCGATAATCGATGTCTTGACCGTCTCACTCTCATCGCATAGCATGTACGTTTAGTGTGAGATAAGCGATAATCTGAGGCTGAGGATGGAGCGACGTTGTAAGAACGACCGTCCCCGGAACACTAGCTTTATTGCTGGCTTCATCCAGTGTCGCCTAGCAACGTAAGACAGGCAGCGGGTTGCCGATATCAGGGGGAGGGGATTAATCTAGGTCAGACCGGCTATTCCCAGGCAGCTTGGATTCTAGCTTTAGCGTTGCCCTATTTTAGCGCTTTATTCGTACATGAGAGAGCCTGCAAATGTTCGATGATGGGGGAGCCGAACCCCCAGAAAGACTAGGTACAAACCTTAGCGCCAACGTAAGTCATTTTAATTGTCCTATTTGACTTTGTGCATGCATGTAAGTGAAGGCAACCAGCTGACGCATTACCAGACACGCCATCAGCCCAGTGCTTGTTGGGTGTGTGCAGTGGCTGAAGCGTAGATTGGGAGTCAGACGTCGACTGCTAATCCCCTGGCTGTATAAATCCCGATGTGTGTATCGGGGGCCCAGATCATGCTGCGGCACGCGCAGCCAGGTTCTCCGGCCCTGTCAGCCACTCCGGTCTTTCTGAGAACGGGCACAAGTGAGTGAAGGAAGTGTGGTAAATGTTATGCAAGTCTACTACCACTTTAAACTAATGCACGCGCAAGTCACCGCGTTTGCCTTCTGCTTGCTGAGACACGTGATGCATATCGTCGAAACCGACGGTCGAATTGTCACATGAAGGTCTTTACGCTTTGTCAGCTACTGTGTCCAATCACATCATCAGTAGATTCAGAGATTTGAATATTGAGAATTGATCACTAGGACAAGACTTTTATTCGCCCGACGTTTCGGAATCCGTCGCGGATACTTTATCAGACACATTATCAGAAACAGTAGCAGGTTTTAATATTCGACTGGTTGATGTGTGCGTAAAGAAATAATGCGATTATTGTATCGCAGACACCGGAGACAGTGGTGGACCTTGTCGTTCATGTGAGTGAAACTACCACTCAGATATTTTGTAGGCTCCGGAAAACAAAGGCACCGTATGCTTTGGATCAGTTCAATAAGTTCTGACACACTTCTTCCTTCATAACTACATCCAGCCTATCGGTGTCATGACCGTCCCACCCTCATCGTATAGCATGTACTTTTAGTGTGAGATAAGCGATAATCTGAGACTGAGGACGGAGA